ATGGTGACTTTCAGTTTATTATGTACAACATGGGTAAGAAGCTGGCGGACTGAAAAACCAAGTTCTTAAATATGACGAGGAGGATTGTCCTCACAAAATCAAGTATTAGCAGTATTTCCTCCCATGTCATGCAATACATCAAACTGCCTACCAAGGTCACAAATTCAATTAACAGTGTCCAGAGCAATTTCATCTGGGGGACATCGCCTAAAAAAGAGAAAACATCATCTTGTCAATTGGGACACTATCACCTTTAGCAAAAGCAATGGGGGACTTGGACAACAGAAACGTGAAGTGAGAAATGCAAGCTTAACATGGACAACTTTCAAGTGTAGGGACAACCTCTGGAGCAAAGTTCTAACCTCCACGTAGCGCAACCTTGACACTGATCCCCACCAAAAAGGAGTAGTCTTATGTAGTTGGAAGAACATTCAATGGGTTGGAGGGACTGTAGAATTGCAACACACTGGTGTGTTCACAAGGGAGACAAATGTTTTTTCCTCAAAGACAATGGATCCCCAATCTGAAGGCCCTCGGCCAGATCATTTACTGTGAAAGAGGGAAATCTCAGAATTAGTAATCTTTACAAAAATGGTACTTAGAACTTCAGCCACATATCCTTCTACCTTACTAAGGACCTCCAAAACATCATCAAAGGTTATTGCTTCATACATCATAATCATAATCAGGACACAATGACCTGGGGTGCCTCCAATTCTTGACATGGAGCGCATACCACTATATCAACAACAAAATTTTGGCTATCCACCACCCTAGTTGATACATTTTGACTGGATCTGGTCAACTAATGCCTCAAACAAAATCAAAACCTTCCTTTGGCTTCTTGCAGACTCCCGACCAACTACTCTCTCCACCAAAAGGTCTAGACATCAGCCACACCTGTCATCTCGTTAATGACCCCAAGAAAGATATCAATCTTCTTTAATATCCAAAACTCGATTCTCCTTTCGGAGAACATCACTCGTAACTTTACCATCAATCCTAATTTCTGTAGTTCCAACACCACCAATTGGATTGAGCTTTGGAACAGATTCAAGAACAAGCAATTCAACTCCACAATTGGCTGGGGAATTCTCCTTCATTTTTGCATACCGAACATTTGGCTAACTAGGAACAATAACCAATTCAACAATAAGAGAGATCTGATTAACGTTAACAATATGATCAGTCAAGCCACTGAGTACCATTTTATGGTTGCCCAAAAGGTTACGACCAAGAATGCTAAAACAAACATTCTTGTCAAGTGGGAACCACCAAGTGTGGGCACCTACAAGCTCAACATCGATGGGTCCGTTAAGACGAATCTTGGACTGGGGACCTATGGAGGAATTTTCAGAGACCACATGGGCCATTGGACACTAGGCTTCGTTGAACGCAACCCCACACAAATCCCATTATGACTGAACTGCAAACTCTAAAAAAAAGCCTCAAATGATAGTTAATCACAACCTAACTCCGTTGGAAATCAACACTGACTGATGTTATTCATATGATTGAACATGACCATTTTACTCTATGATAACCTTATTGATGAGTGCAGATCATTAATGCAGAAGTTAGGTGTCCCAAGGATGATGCACATTTTCAAGGAACAAAATAGGATGGTGGATCGACTGGCGAAGGAAGAAAATTTCAACTTACTAATTGTTTTGCTAGTTCCTCCGATGTATGCCTTACATGAATGAGAAGCACATTATGGGAGCTACTTTTGCTAGAAAAACTACATCTAATGATTTTACTATCTAGGGCTGGGATGTGGTCCAACTGACTATTACCTAAACTTCGCAACGCTTCTTAAATAATGAATAAAAAATATTAAAGTATATTCAATAACTTTTCATATATTTTTATTATTATTATTAATGAATTATTGTTAATGAATTGTTTTTATTTTTTATAACTAAATATAAATAGTATATACAATTTGATTTCATGATTTTAATTTTTTAATTTTAAAAATACTATATCATTATTATACCACATTTATTAGAATCTTTAAGTTCGATTTCGATATAGTAAATCGATAAACATAATTTGTTCGACTTATATATATTCTTATAATAGATAATTATGACTTTAGTTTTTTAAGAAACGTTTTAATTATATTATACAAATACTTATAAAAAAAAATTAAAAAAAAGAACAAACAATCCTCTTTGCTAATTAATTACATAAAAAAGATATTTCAATTTAAATAAAATGGCTAAAGTTTTAATAACTAAATAATTATTTTTATATTGATGCTAATTTATAATCATATCACTCTATAATATAAATGAGAATGTGAGGAGCTTGGGGTCAAGCTAGCTGCTTACATTTCCCAAGCTCCTCACATAATAATTATTTTGTGGAATGTTTGTATATAATAAACTACCCAATCATTTTCACTATTTGTATAATGAGTTGTTTTATTTCAATTTATTTATCTTACTTTCATATTTAGTTGTTATATACTTTAATTATGAAAAAAATTACTTTTAAAATTACAATAATACTAAAATTACAATATTTTGTCTCCTTTAACTTCCTCTAATTACTATAAAAATAGTAATAAAATCAATTTAAAATATTAAAAATTTGGTTAGCTTTCGAAACTTCACATGTATTGCATAATTAGAACTGAGCGAGTAACATATATTATTTAAAAAATACGTAAATAGTACTAAAACATAGTAGAAATAGTACTAAGAATCAACTAAAAATATTAAAAATTCGATAAACTCTCAAAATTTCATACGTACTGCATAATTGAGATATAGCGAGTAACATATATTATTTGAAAATTACATTAAATTATACGTTAAGAGTACTATAAATCACAATAATTAACAACTTAAAATATTTGAAAAACATATTAAAATGTGATTAACTCTCGAAATTTCACATATGCTATATAAATTGGGACAGGAAGAGTAACATATATTATTTTAAAATTACGTTAAGAATACTATAAGTCCCCACATAAATTGAGACAAATAAAATAGCAAATATTTGGGCCCGTGCTTGCACGGGCTCATTGTGACTAGTATTTATATAAAAGAGAACCTTAGGCCCGCCTACGTGGCGTCACCACAAATCATGATTCCCTTTTAATTTATTTTATTTTCAAAACTAGTCTTCCCCTTTCATAAAAAGTTGTGACTTTTATTAAAAGTTTTGACTTTTAAGAAAAGTTGTGACTTTTAAGAAAAATTGTGACTTTTATGAAGAGTTGCGACTTCTATGAAAGTTTGTAACATTTGTGAAAGATTGTGACTTTTCCAAAGAGTTGTGACTTTTCCAAAGAGTCGTGATCTTTCCGATAAGGCACAATAAGTATTTGTTCACACTACCCTTTGTTGTCTATAAATAAAGGAGTTTCTTCTTATTTTAAAACAACAAAAATTCTAAACTTCTTCTTCTTCTGCACAATTAAATATTTGATTATGAACTTCTTCTTCTGCACAATTAAATATTTGATTCTGAACTTCTTTTTCTTCTTCTGCACAATTAAATACTTGTGTACTTTGCTCATATTGAGTGGCTCACTAGCACTATTGTTTTTGTATCATTACACTAGTGAATAAAATTGTTTCATCACGAGAGAATCTATTTATTTAAATCTCGGGTACTAGAGGGGAATGATTTCCTTAAGGAGACAATGTGCATTCAGTGGACTCGATTTTTCCGTTATGTTTCATTCTATTATTACTTATCCTGGTATGTTTTTTTTTACAGTCATTAATTTATGTTTATGATATTAATTGTTATTTTTGAGTACATGTTTTGAACTTTGTTGTTTATGTTTTTGTAAAATTATTGTTATAAGTATTTGTTAGTACAGACTCTATGTAAATTCAACTATTGCAGATTCACAAATAACTTTTTACAGAATACATTTATGTACAACATTCTCTCAATAGAACTTTTCTTCTCCAAGAGATCAAGCCTAAAAATTTATATGATTTTTTGTTGTTGTGATAATAATGTTAATATTAACAGGAGTAAAAAACAAGTCAAATGATAGAATTAAAACTAGCAATTAATTACAATTGTATGATACACAATGATGACTATACTCTCGCACCAAAGTACTTTTTTGAACTTTTTTCTCATTATCTCTTACTTCTCTTTCACCCTATCCAAGGATCCTTAATGTTTTGTTTGTGCACAACTTCAATTCCAAAACACTATCATAACTATATTACATATGAAATTTGAATTTTGAAAGATTGCATTTTAATTTTAAAACACATAATGACTACATATTACTTATTATTGGTATATCATATGATTATTGAACCTTTGCTCTTGATAAACACATTAGTTTTATATATATATATATATATATATATATATAAGATATTTAATATTTTGAAAGTAATTGATAGTGTTATACTAACGAAATTTGCAAAGAAGAAAATTGAGAAAAATATTTATTTGACTCTCTAATTAAAGACACTATGTAATGCATATAGATGACAAAAATAAACTAACCATTGTAATATTTCAAAAACAAATTAATGAATCTATAAAATGAAATTATGTAAACTAGGGGAAAATAGTGTTATGATTTATAATTTTACCTTTTCGATTAATAAAACAAATGATAAACTACAATTGAACAACCTCTACACTCTTAAAATCAAAATACAAGAAAAGTTCTATTCTAATAAATTTTAAAGAAGAATGTTCTAACCGCGCGAAATGCGTGTCCATTTACTAGTAATATACATAAATTATATGCATAACTATACATTTCGATATTCATAATACATGGTATTTGATATTTAAATGCATATTAATATCTACCAAATACTCTATCATATTAAAATCATAATGTTAATAATTTCAATTTCAATATAATACTTCGATATTTACCGTAGCAAGTAAGAAGGCCCATTGGAAAGTATTTGGGGAATCCGGTTGGCGGCCGGGGCATATTGAAGGCGGTATATTGACTAAAACGCGTGTTGTCCAAGACCTCCACAAACGTAACGTGCTTCTATTCTACTCTCTTTTGGCAACTGCAAATATATAAAACAGAGAAAACCATCATCATATATAAAAACCTCCATAGATTTTTCTCTGCCCATAAACACAAAAAACCTTTCAAAATGGCAGAGAATAACACTATGGAATCTGTCAGGAAATGGGTTGTCGAACACAAACTTCGAACAGTTGGTAAATCATTTGTGGTTTTGAATCTTGATTGTTGATATGGTTTATCTATGTGAATCAACAGATATTCTCTTTCTTTGATTTTTGATGTTGGGTTTTTGTTTTTGGTTGAAGGGTGTTTGTGGCTTAGTGGAATTGCGGGTTCAATTGCTTACAATTGGTCTCAACCTCATATGAAAACTAGCGTTAAGATCATTCATGCCAGGTAATTCTGTTCTTCTTAATCCCCAATTTCTGTTTGCTTGCAGAAGGGCTTGACGACTATAAACATAAGTTTATGTGTTACCCGATTCATAGATTGATTCTACTTGTAATCGATTCAATTTTGAGCTAGGGTTCCTTAGCAGGACCTAGTGATGTTAATTGTTGAATTTGCTTGCTGTATCTTTTACTCTATGTTTGAGTTTGGATTGTGGGTTAAACCAAAGTTGCTCGGACTTGGTTTCAAATTTTGCAAAATCTAAATTTTAAGATTTAGGGCTACTGGATACGGGAGCTGGAATTCGGGTATGGATACTTCTAGAATGCTCACACACACATAGGCTTGGAAGTTTTTCAGATCTTCATATTCATAAGCAGTTTTTCAACTTTAGAGTTCAGGGTTTGTTTATTGGAAAAGGAGAAGTGAGTTTGGGGGTGGGGGACTTGACAGGACATTTGATCCCCTTTTCCTTTCATCATCCTCCGAATTCGGTTCAGAAAGGGTATTTACTGTCTTTATTTCAACACAAATGTTGTACAAAAACATGCTGAGTATTTGGATTTCAAAGGCGCTGGTTCATTTGGTTAAAGATGCCCAGAATTTATGAAACCAACCTTATTGGGAGACACTTTCATAGATTCTCATAGGAGGTTGTCTTAACCTTTTTCACAATCTCGTGAAAATCAATGTGTCTTAATCTGCAAAACTAGCCGAGGGGTAGCACTGGTGTTGTGTTTCAGAACTGCTTTTCATCAAACAGCAAGAAAGAAAAAAAAAATTCAATTTTTACAAAAAAACTGTCTTTTCTTGGTTTTCGATTGGGGAAACATTTCTGTTTCAGAAAATTCATTTTTTTGGTTGCTACTCTTCACATTTTTGAAGCTGACACCAATATGTCCCATTCACTTTGACAAGATCACCACGGGGAGAAGGGGTAGTTGCTAATATAGTTCTCGGGTTTTTGTCCATGCTTAGACATTCTTCTAATTGGACAAGCTCTTATTACAAGGTTCCATGAAAATACTTACCTGTATACTTCATGTACGTGCCGTGCCTGTTTATTGTATTATGTTGATATGGATGACCTTGTGTTAAGTTTGAATCCCCTGACTGTTCCATATTTCATTGTATTATGTTGATATGGATGATCTCCTTGTGTTATGTTCGAATGCCCTTGCTGTTCTACTTTTAGCTTGTTGTGAATTGTGATTGTCTAGTTTTGTGGTGGGTAAGATGAATGTATTGATACTCGTTAAATGAGATTTATGGTTATAATGTTGAATACGAGAAACCTAGTAGGATATTAGGAGGTGCATGTGTTCCTAGTATTGAGAAAAGATCCTACTTTGACAGGTCTTGAATGCTCTGTTTTTAAGATTCTTGCAATTTGTACATCTTGCCTTGTCATCCTGTTATAAGAGTAGAGTCTGGTGCACTCTACAATGTGATGCCTGTGGTCTTGAAGAAGGGACAGTTACATGCTCCGTCTTAACTAGAACTGCCTTATTATTATTTTTTGAGCTTTCGTCAGGAGTAACTGTTGTTTTTGTTGGTAATCAGGCTGCACGCACAGGCGCTCACACTTGCTGCATTAGCTGGGGCTGCAGTTGTCGAGTACTATGACCATAGCTCAGGAGCTAAAGCAGAACGTGTTGCCAAGTTCCTCCAACCGCAAGCCCATTCTCACAAGGAATGAATCACTAATTCAATGAATAAAAACCAAACTGATTAGGCACAGCTTTGTATGGAAAAGTTTTACTATATCAAATTTTTAGTACTGGGTTTCCTCCTTAGGATATGTGATTAATGTGGGCATGCTGCTACGCCAGCACGAGTCCCTTTTCTGAAGGGCTAATGAACTTTGTGGCTATAATTGTAGCTTTCTTGGCTAAGATCAGACATCATTCCCAATTCATTTTGATTTTTGTGTGGTTTATTTACAGATAATGATTCATCGAAAGTGCCCTTCTTAGCAGTACAAAAAAAGTATGCGCAAATTAAAGTTTTGGGTACCTATGTTGTATATAGGAATGGGGGTGCCAACCAAACAGGTTAAATTGAATATAAGCTAGTGAAAACAAGTTAAACAAAAATGGATAAAATAATTGATTAATCCATATTTTAAATGGATTAAAAATGTTACTCGATGGATAATATAGATATCTATATCATGCTAAGGATGCTAACAAAATTCAATAAACTCAAAGTTAGCATCAAAACAAGAATTACAGTCAATTTCTTCATCATCTCTCCACAAAATAGTCACGCTCCAAATCTCACATAACATACTATTGCACTCAATAACAGCAAAGCTCCACAATTAATTTCAAACATGAAGAAGTACAAAATAGAGTAGAAAAAACACTTTATAACAAAAACCAGAAATACATTGTTAGACTTGGTCATAATACATTAGGGATCTAAACATTTTAAAAAGAATCTTTTAATCTACATAGACTATTAAGTAAAGAAAGCTAAGGTTAGCTTAAATAGGTAGAAAGGAAGATTAATTAAAAGCCATTAATTAATTAGTTGAGTCTTTCTGACACAAAGTAACAACTTTAGAACAATTCAAAGGTATTCCATGACTCATTCCTTTTTACAACCCACATTTCGGATCTCTTATTACACCCATCGATCCATAATCCAAAACTAAAAAACAAAAAATTTAAAAATTGTCCAGCATGGGAGCTGAACATCTTGAGAAAACTAGTGTAAAAAAACACATGATGATAAGCAAGAAGGCGTTATCTTCTTCCATCGTTAATTACGTGCTTGGAGAGCAGCGACTCATCTGTTTATTCATCGGAATCATTGTTTCAGTTTCCGCACTCAGTATCATTAATCTCTCCCCGCGTACTATCATCAGTGCTTCTGTTTCCCTTGATCATGTATCATCAACTCCTATTCCTCGAAGAATAACGTATGAGTTGGTTGATCATGATCAATCTAACCGCAATGTTAATGCAGGCATGTAAATAACGTATTATATTTATTTTTCATCAAATATATATTGAGTCTGAATAGTGTTAAGAAAATGGACGTTAGATTTATTAAGTGTTTTGCAGGTGGAAAGGTGCCGTTGGGATTGAAGAGGAAGAATTTGAGAGTATTGGTAACAGGTGGAGCAGGGTTTGTGGGGAGCCATTTGGTGGATAGGTTGATAGAGAGAGGGGATAGTGTGATTGTCGTTGATAATTTTTTTACTGGTCAGAAAGAGAACCTGTTGCACCATCTCAATAACCCTAAGTTCGAGTTGGTTAGACATGATGTGGTGGAGCCTATCTTGCTTGAAGTTGATCACATTTATCATTTGGCGTGCCCTGCTTCTCCTGTTCATTACAAGTATAATCCCGTCAAGACCATTATATCCTTTTTTACTACTAATAATTAACTTGTTTCCATGTGATCTTTTAAATTAACTTGGAATGACTATTAATTGCCCTTTTAAAAATAAAAATTAGTGATAGAGTTCAAAATTCATCCATCCATGACTACCATGTGGAGTGTTTTTTTATAGTTCGAGGATAATTTTGACCCTTTTCTGTTAAAACAATAATGAACATTTTGGAGATTGTTTATTTTTTGGTTAAGATTCCTTGATTTAAGTAGATAGAGATCACAAAACAAATGTGATGGGAACATTGAACATGTTGGGGCTGGCAAAAAGAGTAGGAGCTAGATTTCTGATAACTAGCACAAGTGAAGTGTATGGTGATCCTTTGCAGCATCCTCAAGTTGAAACTTATTGGGGCAATGTTAATCCCATTGGTTAGTCAATTCCTTCATCCATATTTTCTTATTCTTGTAATCGATATTCTCATTATAGTTTGTTCACATGTCAATGGACCATGTAACTAAGTAATTTATTTTTAAAAAAAACTTTTTGGGTAGGGAAAATGGGAGATGGGAGACAGGATTACGAGGTAAAAATTTAACTCATCAACAAGATGAAAGTTCAGATAGTCAATCAACTGAGCTATAAGATTCTCAATCATTCTCTTCTCAGCTTGTTATCTTAATCAATTGGGCTGACAAAATGGTTAGAAAAAGCAAGTAACCATCCAATCCAACCCATAAAATGCAAGTTTGATCATAACTGATAATTTAAAAATGGATCAAATATGACTATTATCTCGTAAAAAACGATATCTAGATGAATAAAGTAGATATCCATATTAACTATATTCATTTCTCAGCTTGTTATTGTTCATGAGTTCTTGTTTTCTTGGAGTCTAAGCTTATTTTGACTTTTAACTTGTATTCTCACTTGACTATTCCTGTAACCATGGATAGCACGTTGGTTAACCCATTTTTAATCCGTATTCAAGATGGACGAGTCAAATATTTTATTCTTTTCGATCCGTCCATATTCGATCTGATCCGCTCGTTTGCCAATCCTATGACTTATCTAACGGTACTAGACTTGGTTTGATGATTTAGCAGGTGTCCGGAGTTGTTATGATGAAGGAAAGAGAACAGCTGAGACTTTGGCCATGGATTATCATAGAGGACTTAACGTTGAGGTTTACTACTAATTCAACACTATTTTTTAAAGTGAGAAATATCAAAAACACCCCTAAACTTGACACAAATTATTAGTTTCATCCTCGAATTATTATTAACAGCCTTAAAAACACTCCTTTACTTGACTAATTAAAGCTAAATACACCCCCGATCTTGCGACATTAGTGAAATACACCCCTAAATTCTCGTCAGGTTTAGGGTGTTTTCAACACTTCTCTCGGTTTTTATTAAAAACTCCATGCTCCTACAAGAGTTTGAGACCACTTGCTATGTCGTGTTGCATATCGGGAGTGTATCAGAGGTGTATCTGACTTAGTTAGTCAAGTAAATGAGTGTTTTTAAGGCTGTCAATAGTTTGAGATGAAACTAATAATTTGCATCAAGTTTAAGGGTATTTTTTATACTTCTCTCATTTTTAAAAGCAAAGTTGTACATTTTTGTTTTCAAAATTAATGTCAAATACCTTCCTTGCATATATAACAAAATCAAAACTTCAAGGTTTAATTCAAATATGAAGAGCTTATTATTTCCAGGTTAGGATTGCTAGGATTTTTAACACATATGGACCGCGTATGTGCATAGATGATGGTCGCGTTGTGAGCAATTTCGTCGCACAGGTATGTGTTACTTCATCATTCCATATATAAATTGAAAACGGATAATTTTTCCAGACAAATGAACAAATTTTTCTGTCCATCTAAAAGAAAATTTCCGTTAATAAATCACAAAGGAGGTCGATGAACACGACTAATATGCATGTCATGTGGATTTGTTAATTTAGTGTGCTATATAAATTAGAAATATATATTTGCAGGCATTGAGAAAGCAACCATTAACTGTTTATGGAGATGGGAAGCAAACTCGAAGCTTCCAATATGTTTCTGATTTGGTAAATTCCACATATTTCCTTGACAAATTTGTGTTCTTTCTTAATTTTTTGAGGCCTCTAATGTTTTGATATTATAATAAACACAGGTAGAAGGATTGATGAGGTTGATGGAAGGAAATCATGTAGGTCCTTTCAATCTTGGCAACCCTGGTGAATTTACCATGCTTGAACTAGCTAAGGTATTAGTACTAATTAAATCTTTGCATCTCAATGTTCTTTTGGATATGTGCTTCATCATTAATAAGTGTGTAAACATTAAACAATTGACCCCTTCTAAAGTATACATGAAAATAGTTTAGGAAAGTAACTATAGATGCAATTATGTTTGTGTATGTGCTTAGGTTGTTAGAGACAACATACTTAAATTATATAATTATATTCTTAATACATTTTTATATGTGGGTGTGATTCTTTTATTGGAAAAGGGTCAAATATACCCCTGTATTATAGGAAATAGTTTAAATATACTCTTCGTTATATTTTTGGGCCAAATATATCCCTTCCGTTATACTTTGGGCCAAATATATCCTTTATCCATTAAATATGTGGGTCCCAACCTTAGAATAAACATGAGAAATGTTGGAATTAATTTAAAAAACCCAGATCATTTTTATCCGGTTAATACCCAAAATAACTCACTAAAATACTTTCTTTGCCAAATCCTCTATAAGTCAAACAAAACCAAAACGAAATGTTTGTAAAAAAATTTTTGTCAACTGATTAGCTTCAACTGGTACATGAAAGCTCATTTTTATAACTATTGTTCCTATTTATTTTTTTCTGAGATACAAAACATTTAAAAAAATCTCTGTGTGTTCTACTGTTCTTGTTGAGTTTATTATTCGAGTTCAATTCTGAAATTTTTGAAAGTTCAATTAAGGCGGTGCTTGAAAACTTCATTGATTTGGATTGATGTGCTAAAATTAGAATGCACAATAGGTGGAGAAGTTGAAAACAAAGTTGTTGGATTTGTCTTTTGAATTTGTGGCCGATAAACTTTTAAAGTTTGTGATTGAAAGTTGTTGTAAATCAATCGAGTACTGGAAAATTATTTAGGTTATTGTTTCTTTGAGCTGAGATTTTCTCGTCTACTATGATTAAGTTGAATTCAATTTTTGGGTTCTTTGAATTCAAAAATAGAGATTGAAAAATCAAAGTTCTTCAATAAATTTTTGTTGCTGACTCATCGATTAAGTTACTGAGATTTTTGAAGTATTATGTGTGTTTGGATGTTGAGAATCATCAAGTTAAGTGAATACAATTATTATTGAAGTGATAGAAATCGATTTGAAGAAAACAACTTTTACATTACTCCATTGTTGAGATTTGAAGCTTTATTGGGTTGGGCTATGGGTTATTTTGTTGTTGGCAGGGGACAGAAATTATTTGGGTCCATCTAATTAATCTCAACCCTTCAAGTAATTACGTATTTTGGGTATTAACTGGATAAAAATGATCTGAATTTTAAATTAATCCCAACCTTTCACATGTTTATTCTAAGGTTGGGACCCACATATTTAACGGATAAAGGGTATATTTGGCCCAAAGTATAACGGGAGGGGTATATTTGGCCCAAAATATAACGAAGGATATATATAAACTATTTCTTATAGTACAGGGGTATATTTGAGCCTTTTCCGTTCTTTTTTCATTGCTAAGCATGTGTATATTCTTTTCATTTATATTTTATGGTGAGACTCAACTCGAGATCTTTATCGTATCATAATAAAAAATGAACATATTAGGTCTAACATCAACCCCAAATATAAGCGCAAAAAGGTGAGACTTGTCAAGACCAGACCAAGTCCCCCATCCCACTACTACTAATGTGAGACTCAACACTTGTGCATGTCCATACCTGTCAACTTAAGCGTGAGCAATATATAACATGTGTGTCTAACATCGAGTCTATACTATATTGAAGTGTGTCGCTATCTCATCTCAAATCTTAAACAACTAGAGATATTATAACACCCTTAATTTAACTGCTCAATTAAATTTCCCCAATAAGTACTCTCAAGTATTAGCCTTACAAGTTTGAGAGTGTGTGATGAACTAATATAATTTATTTGCAGGTAGTACAAGAAACAATAGATCCAAATGCAAAGATAGAATTTAAGCCAAACACAGAAGATGATCCCCACAAAAGGAAGCCAGACATTTCAAAAGCAAAGCAACTTTTAGGATGGGAACCAACAGTCTCCCTTCGCCAAGGATTACCTCGCATGGTTGATGACTTCCGACGACGCATATTTGGCGATGATAAGCTCGATTCTGGCTTATAGTAAATAGTACTATACTATTATACTCTTTCCATAATTTGGTTATGGATGAAAGAAAGATGACAAGTTGAAGATGAATACGTACAATTACTTATATACGTTATATTGACTATACTTTTCTTTCTTTTTTCATTAATAATATTTCGGAATAAGGTTCTCCGTTAAAAGAGGATAATTGAATTTGGAAGGTGTTTTTTATTTGTGTATTAGAAGATATTTGATTTGGAATGTGTTGTTTTTGTGTATTAGAGGATAATTGAATTGAAAGATGTGTTTTTTTGTGTATTAGTTAAATCAAGAACAATAGTTTTGAACGTCGATGAGCAATTAAGCATATAGTGAGACTTTTTGTGTTTGATGAATTTTTTTTAAATTTGCACCAATTGTGATCCTGATCGAGACATATGAGTTCTTCTATTGTCGTAGTTGTAACACCTCTTACTTAAGGACGAAGGTTTGACACATTAGAAATTTTAGTGCTTAAGCTATGAAATGTTATGTATTTCATTCCAAATGTCATGAACTTAGATTTTCATTATATTCCTATTCTATGAATTTCATTGTTCTTACCAAGAAAACATGATAAACTATGAACTGCGATTTTTCTTGAAAAGTAAGAACGTTATGATTTTACGATAGGATGTACATGATGATGAAATATAAACATGATTTGAACCCTTGAGCTAACTTTTATCACATAAATATTTTGGAAGAACTATTGTTAACCAAGAAGGTGTGAGTTGTTAAGACAAGAGCCTAAAACTACTAATATCTTATGTAAATGATTAAGCATTGATTTTATTCTAAAGTCGGATTTTCTTGATTCTTCTCGCATTTCATTCAGTATGCTTTGGGTGGTCATTTTCCCTTCATATATTTCCTTATGTTTCATTCTATGTTATAGTACTATATCACATGTCCTCACATCCCTTTTTTAGGGGCACAATGCAGGTTCAAACACCAGAATGACAAGGCTACATGCTAAATGTTGCATACACAATTTTTTATGAACCCCACTTGATTCTTATGACATGGGTTGAACTAATAAATAAGTGGGTCCATAACCCACCCAAACTTAAATAGATTGAGCTGGTTGAGTTTGATTTTGTCATCCCTAGCTAGCTACTTGTATGGAAATTTAAGAAGTCATTAATGGTAACATACACTTGTAATGAAGAGTGAAGAGTTTTGAGAAGATATAATGGTGAAACAACTAGTGACAACTTTTCTGGACACTCCTTATTGCCAATTGTTTCAGCTGAAATATACACAACTAAGATGAGTCAGCGTGATATTTTCATTGTTTAGGCCGTTACTCTTCTCCTCATACTACTTTTTATTACTTCATCTTTAGATCCGGCTGATATTGCAGGGATGCCTGTAAAACCATTCAATCAACCAGTAATTACTTAAGTTAAGGAGATGAATTAGCACAATAATCTAGCAGTTATAATTCTTCACATTACATATTTGGCACATAACACTTGGATGCTATGGCTGATTCGATGGACCAGCTTCGTTCCCCCAGGGAGCTGCCCGTTTCAGTAGATTTTTCCCATGAGGCAAAATGATGGTCTTCAAACTCAGCCCCGCTTGCTTGCCGACATTAATTTAGCAGATACATGACCAAGTGTTTGATAATTATTTTAGCACCACTCAACAATTAGTCTTATTAGTTGAGTTAGTCCAAACTGGGGTTTTTCAAGCAAATTATTTATAATGTAAACCAGTAGACTTCTTCATATGACTAACAACCTTAGTTATAGACTATAAGAAGAAAAGAGATGGACGATACAAGGTGGTTCAAATTTTCTGCCGCAAGCTCAATATTTCTGATGGAACTCATTTTAACATCCACCCCAACTAGTGAATTACACAAGGTACAACACCATTCCAACAAGGCAAAGAAAATGAGAGGTAGAAAGAAAAATGTCACAAGCAAGGAAAGTAAAATATTGCAGATCATAAAGTTCCGAAAACTCCAAATAATGTTTTGTTTTCTCCTCCACCTGACAAAAATTGTTCCCAGCAACTGCCTGCCTTCCCACATCTGACACTGTCTTGTGCTGTTTCACTACTTAATCTCTGTTCTTTCAGTAACTGACTATTTCGATTCACTTAGATGGGGCACGGTGGAACATCAAGAGTAATACCAGCTTGGATTTGACCCCAACCAATAAGACGCCAGTGCTTCTCAATTCTCCGGCTTAGAGCAATTTTTTCGCCTTTGCTGGTACACACTGGGGACGTCAATTGCAGTTTTGCAAATACATTTTTAACAGCTACAACGCGAGCCCCAGTTGACATAGACCCTATATTTAACATAAGGATTTCTCCCTTTGCCAACTTTGAAACTTTACCCTGCCTTTCTGTGTCCTTTGTCCTCACACCCAAAAGACGACGGAGCAAAAAGAAATTCACCTGCATTACAAAGGAGTAACGGTACATTCAATGAAGGATATGCAAGCACATGGCCTTAGAAAATTAAATAGATCTAACGAGTGAGCCTACTTAGCTATAACAACAACAATATACCCAATGTAGTCCCACAAAGTGGGGTCTGGGTAGGGTCTACTTAACTATAAATTAACTCAAAAACAATAAATTAAGAAAAGGAAATGGCAATTCTTTACAACAGATAACAGAGTACAAAACTTGTGTAACATTTTCATTACCTAAAAAACAGTTAATAGGAGATATCTACCAGTCACATTTTAACTGTCCTATTCTGGATTGTTCTGAAGAAGTCATTTACCTCTAGTTCGACGAAAACTTCAGGAAGTGATCCAACCTCCCCGAGAACTTGTCCCACCAATCGATCAGCACGTGTCAGTGTTGGATCCATGGTTGATCCAACTCCAATAAGGCCTCCAGGCACGGCAAATTGTAGTTCATTTTGCTCGGCAAACAGTGACACAATTCTTGAATATATGGGGGTACATTTAATGTTGCCACTTTCATCCTTGACAACAATACCTGGACGAACCTCGATCAACTGATTTACCTTCAACACACCCTGCACAAAGAATTGAATTGCTGACACCAAATATGTAACTGCTGCTATGAGATTTTCTTAAATGTCCAGGTAAGAATAAGCACCCCACTACGGTAAATGATAAAAACAAGAATCTGTCAGGTCAATCACAAAGCTCTATGACCGCGGAGATGTTGTGAGCATAGTGTATTCGCTAGTTTAAAGGAAATAAGCAACATACCTTTAAAATACTGCCACCAGCAACGCCACCTCTGATCTCATCAACTTCAAAACCAGGTTTATTAACGTCAAATGACCGAATAACGATCATATTTGGTGGTGAAGTGAAATCCCTCACAGGAATTGGGATTCGTTTCACAATATATTCACAAACAACATCAATGTTATACTTCAATTGAGCAGAGATTGGTACAACTGGGGCACCATCTGCTACAGTTCCCTGAACATGGTGTTGAAGTACAGTATCATTATATAGCTTCGTGGATCAAGCACAAAAAGAGTGCAAGGCTAACCGATGCTGTATACCACTAACCTGAATAAATTTCTGAATAGCTTCATGCTGATTGATGGCAACATTTTCCTGAACAAGATCAACCTTATTTTGAAGAATTATTATATGTTGGAGTCTCATAATTTCGACTGCGGCTAAATGTTCAGAAGTCTGAGGTTGGGGACAGCTCTCATTGGCAGCAATTAGAAGTAATGCTCCATCCATAATGGCTGCTCCATTAAGCATGGTAGCCATGAGAATATCATGACCCTGCAGCAAAAGTCACTGAATAAACACTCTCGTTCCAAAAAAATCAATGGCGTATAGACTATCTTATCATACAACAAACCTAAAGAGCTAACAAAATACCAAACGTAGGGCAAAGTTTTATGCCTGGATAATACCAATCAACAACTTCCTTACCAAAAAAAAGAAAAGAAATGTATGCTTGCAAACTACCCGTGAGAAAGACAGAAAGAGAATTACAGACAAAAAAGATGCAATATAAACAGCATGCAAAATAGATGCTCAGCCATCTTCACCATAATTACGTGGAAGCATTCAATGGTAATTTAAAACGGAAAAGTTTGAAGAAAACAAAAGGCAGCCAATGGTAATTTTATTTTATTTATGTTTTTGAAACTGTTAACTTTGTATTCCTCAGCATTAAGGGTATGCTGGCCACCTCCAAAAACATGACTACAAAAGAACTAAACAATAAGAAACAAGTACTTACAGTTCTCCTAGGAAATCTACTATATTTACTTCATCATCTACAATTTGTTCTTTACACCAAAAACGATAAGAGATACAATACAATTCCATTTAATTTAAGCAGGCCAATGGTAATTTAAAACATAAAAATAGATTCCTCTTCTATGAAAAAGTACCTTTTACATAATGATATAAATGCCATTCGCTTCCACCCTTACACCTAAAGAGTACAGTATCTAAAAATAGACAAGAGAGGATAAACTGACAACCACACAGGCTCAGATATTGGAAAGCAAACCCATCAAATAGATGCAGAAGTTTTCAGTCAACGGAACAATATGATAAGCACCTAAAACTCGAAGGGTCCAAAATGTTTTAGCTATAGTTAAGAAGATATACTATGGTATATTCCCACTTGTATACAACAAAGGTTAGTCGCCTTATCAACTCCAAAATGCAAACAACATTACACAGTAGATTGGCATATGAAATACTTACAGGACAATCAACAAAGGACACGTGTCTCAGCAGTTTCATCTTGCAGCTCTCAAAACCAGGGACATCACACATGGGACTGTCTTCTTTTCCACTTCCATATGCCCTGAAAGGATATTTGTTTAACTTACAATAAATCAGATGAAGCAAAAGTACACTTTTCTCTAAATTTTAAGAGCTTACTTATAGCACATGGGTCTAGGGCAGCGCTCTTCTTCACATTTGTAAATCTTCGCATTAGCATATCCAAGCTTGATGGTAATGTTACGCTCTAGCTCATTCTTAAAACGAACAGTCTGCAGATTTTAGGGGAATAATTAATGGTTACTTTCAAGGATAATAGTGTAAAGCCACCCAAAGCAACATCTTCTCAGCTTTTCAATTATTGTGAAATATTATTCTTATTGTAAGTACTAATGTTAGCTCTAGG